TATATTAATTCAAAAATTGAAATATCTCAAACTGCAATTATCTGTATCTAAATGGATTAAGTTAGAGTGGATCGGATCACCGAAATAACTCGAACTTTTTTTATTTATTTTTATTAGATTATGTAAAAATTAATATTAAAATTTTAATTTATTAATCTTAAAAATAAATAAAATACTCAAATCTTAACTTCTCATCAATTTCACTTTCTCTCAACTTTTTATCTTCCCCACTCTCGCTATGCCCTCTTTCATTCTCTCTTATCCTTGTCTTTGACGGTAGTCAAAAATTAAATTAAGTGGCACATAATAAATTATGTCATATGATATAGTAAAAAAAATTATTTTTTTAAAATAAAAAGCAAGAATGCCTACTAAAAATTAAAATCTAGTGGTTGAAGCACCCTCATAACTATTAAAAGTACAAAGACAAGAATATAAAAAACATCAAGATTTGTTTTTAGTTGCTAATTTGTTATTAATTAATAATTTGTTTTTAATTAATAAAAATCAATTCGATCCAATTTCTTCTTGTATTTTATTAGATATATTTTGGATTTGCCTTTTAAACTTTAATATTGAATAGGGTTATATCTTTTGTATAATGTCCTCCTAAATATTGAATAAAACTGTATTTTTTGTATAATACTTTTATAAATTTTGAATAGGCATAATATATATATATATATTGGATTTGTCTTTTGAACTATAATCCTTTATATCTTTTCTTTCGATGAAGGTTGATACTTTTATGAAAATATGAATTTTAAATATTGTATAGGTATTATATATTTGACATATATTTTAGTTTCACCTATATAATCATTAATCTTTTCCTTTTCTTTTCTTGAGATTGGAAAAAAATTAAATTATAAAATAAAAATTAATGTTTAATAAAGTTTTTTAACTAAATAGTTAATTAATAATAAATTTTTTTAACTAAATAGTTAACTAGTATTAGATTTTATTAAAAAAAATAGAGAAAAATATAAAACAAAACTTTAATTTTAATTTTAATTTTTTTAAAGTTAAGTTCACTCGACTCAATCGGAAACTCGTGTAGATGAGTCATAAGTCAATCTCTTTAACCCAAGATCTGAAATAATATAATCCAAACATTCCCAATCCGACCTATTTGACAGTTCTAATAAGAGCTTTAGTGGTGTCAAGGAGTAATTCATTGATTATTTTTTTTTCTTGAAAGTAAAATATTTTGAATTTAAGTTACATGATATGCAGTGGGGTGAAATAAAGAATGAAAGATGATTGCTTGTCAGAGAAAAAAAAAAGCGCTTCGATGGTGACTTTTTTGTTTTAATGAAAATTTTATAACCCAAATTAAAAAAATAAATAAAATAAAATGAAAAAAAGTCTTCAGACTCGTTGCCAAATATATAAATATAAAAGCCTCCTCTTCGGTTAGTAGCAATTCTTGAATAACTTATTATATTTTATAAAAAAATAAAAATAAAATTTATAAGTTATGTTGTAAAATTTTATTATTAATATAATACTAATATTTTGGGTTATAAATTTTCATGTGGATTTATAAAAGAATTATAATAATACTTATAAAACTATTAAATACTTTAACGAATCTCCTTACCTTGTTATTGTTAATTTACAAGAATTAATTAAATATTATTTTGTTTAAACATATTTGGTTCATTCTCCAATTAAATAACATAATATGCTGGAGGATTATATTGTCCTTTATATGGTGGCGGAGTTATGAATTTATTTTGTAGGGGCAAAGTGCTATAGTGATACTTACAAAATAAAATTATATAATCATATTTCTAAATTTAACTTACAATTCAAATAAATTTTGTTAAAATTATAATATACAAATAGATAAGATGATACTTATTTAGTAATAAAAATACCATTAAGTAACATGCATTTATCTTGGCCCCCACCCAGCACTTGTTGATGCTCTTTTCTTTTGGCTAATATTTTTAATAATGGTTCTATAAGTCCAGCACTAGGTGACTTAATGGGCACTCCATTGAAGGTGTGTAGTTGGATATAAATAATCTGGATTTTATTCTCAAGTTTTACTTTCTTTTTCCTTAAAAAATTCCCCTTTGTTAAAAAAAAAAAAGAAAAAAACAATGGTTCAACAAATGCCATTGGCTAAGATCTTTCTTAGCATCTCGTGGGTCAAATGAGAGCTGTCCCAATCTCCATTAATGTTGCTATGGATGATGTGTTTTCTTGGAAAGGTTCTCCTGATGAAAGTTTCTCTTCCACCATGGCTTACCAATTAGCCATTGACAATACCACCACTAGCTATCCTAATTGGGGATGGATATGGAAAGTGGAGACCTTGCTAAAAATTCAACATTTTTCTATGCCTCTTGCGCATGGGAAACTTAAGTTACTTGAGTTTCTTCATCACCTCAATTTAACTTCTAATCCCCTTTGCCTTTGTTGCGAAGATGAGATTGAATCCATTGATCATATCTTTAGATTTTGGCCTTCTATGGATATTTATACTAGATTAGTTTCAAATGTTGGATTCTTGGATGGTAATATTCCTTTCGTTGCGTAGTTTAAAGAATAGGTTATGAACTTCTCAAATTCTTTTGACTTTAGTATTTCTTGGAAGGCCCTCTTCTCCTTTGCTATCTGGGGCATGTGGGTGGATAAAAATTGTGTGCTTCATAGAACTCAAGATCAACAAATTGGTCTCTTGTGCAATTCCATTATTAATAGATTTGCTAAATTATAGTCTGCTTGCCCCACCAAGATGAAACAAATCATAGACAACATGGACTCTTTGGTTGGAGCCACCCTCCTCCAGGAGCTTTAAAGCTCAGTACCAATGGTTCTGCTATAGGTTGTCCTAGCCTATCATGTGCAAGTGGTGTTTTTAGAGATTATTAGGGCAAATAGGTCTTAGGCTATGCTAGAAATGTTTGAATCGCAAATAGCTCTATTGATGAATTATGGTCATTGAGCGATGAGATTTTGATTGGTGAGCAAAAAGGATTTCTATGGTTTTAATTGAGCCTAACTTTGCCTGCCCTTGTCATTTGCTTCCTTCTCCTCGCAATTCCTCCCACTATTTTAACACCTTCATTTCAGATTACAAGGATTTTATTTAGCAGTTTGAGTTGGTCAAATTTATGCATATTGTCAAAAAATACAAGTAGTGGTGAATGGACAAAAATTAAGAGCTTCTTGATCTCTCATTTTTTTTTTTTTTTGGTTATTTTTGAGGATTGCCCTCTTCCTATTGTCCCCTTTGTAATGCATATGCTTAGGAGGTTGTTTTCTCTCGACCCCCTGATGTATTTTGCTATGTTTGTCAATGAAACCATGTATTTACCCAAAAAAAAAAAAAAAAAAAAAAAATTGAACCCCAATGTTACAATGATAGTATTCATATTCTTGTTGTGGATATTTTTAACCGCGTAAATGAATACACTTCTTAGCAGAGGATCTAAATAACCATGCAACCAAACGTCACCCTGAAGGGCCTGAACCCCTTAGGAACCCTAATGCCTAAACTCCATTTATAACTGGCTGGTGCCGCGGCGGCCACAAACTACCTAATTTCGGAGAGGAAACTAGTGATCGGGAGGATGCAGATCTTCGTGAAAACCCTAACTGGGAAGACCATAACCCTCGAGGTCGAATCCAGCGACACCATCGACAATGTCAAGGCCAAGATCCAGGACAAGGAAGGTACATGTTTCCTTGGATTTCTCCTTCTCCTTTATATTCTTTTCGTGTTTGATTATGAGTATCTTGATAGCCGATGCGTTTCGGTGTGAATTGGTTAGGTATTCCACCGGATCAGCAGAGATTGATCTTCGCCGGGAAGCAGCTTGAAGATGGCCGCACTCTTGCCGACTACAATATCCAGAAAGGTTAGAATCTGTGTACTGTAATTGATTGCTGTATCTTGTTTTCAGAAAATCATTAGGAATGTTGGTATTGGTACTTTGATTCATTTTCTTGTGACTGTAAATGTGAGTGTAACATTTTGAAGGAAATTATGGAAATGGTCATGTTTTTGAATTTGCATATAATTATATTTATCTTTAATTCCTATAGCAGTGGTGTTACTAATTTGCACCGGCATTCTCAACTATCTTGATTTTGTTCTTTGGTTTAAGTATATATCTGAACATGTGCAGAATCAACTCTTCATCTGGTTCTGAGGCTTCGTGGTGGTATTATTGAGCCTTCTCTGATGGCATTGGCAAGGAAATACAACCAGGACAAAATGATTTGCCGAAAGTATGTGGCTATCTTTGTGTTACACAATTTTGCTTATTTGCTTGCCAAGTTTTCATTTTTTGTTCCAGTGTACTGCCTCTTGAAGTAAATGTCCTTTCTTTAGATGGTGCATCATTTAGAGCATACTTTTTTTACTTTTTTATTTTTTTTTCTGAAAGATTTATTGCCTATGTTTCATTTTATTCTTTGAGAAAATGTTTGTGTTCTTGGTGATGAATCCTTTATACCACTGTTAATGATCTTTGGTCAGTTTGTTTCTGAATTCTTGTCATTAAATCTCATACAGACAGACAATTACCATTCTGAATTTTGTAGTGTCATAAGTATTGAGTAAGACCTGCCCTGAATTTGAATATTTTGACTTCTGTTAGAAAGATGTGGTAAAACTTTCCAGTTGATTGCTTGATTTCTTTGATTAATATAGGATATAGAAGTTAAACTAGGCTTGTTTTCATTGGATTGTCAAAGTTATGGGTATTATTATTCTCATTTTTATTTATCTGAAAAGTTGTACCAACATGTTTTTATAACATACTAGTACTATGATATTGTTCAATATGACTTGCAAATATCTTAGTTTTGTCATTTTCCAATGTTTCTTGCTCGTCTTTGTATTTGTATGGTGTCCTAAATCTTGTGTTGTTAATTTTGCCAATATACTCCATCTCACTGTGGAAACATTTGCTTCAGGTGTTATGCACGCTTGCATCCTCGTGCTGTGAACTGCAGGAAGAAGAAGTGTGGACACAGCAACCAGGTAAATCAGATCTTTTGGTTCTGTGATTTATCCATCCATGTTAAACCATGGATCCCTTTTTAACATTTTACCTTTTTCTTTACTATAACCAAATTGACAATTGGATTTCTTATTTTGGCAGCTGAGGCCAAAGAAGAAGATCAAGTAGAGTGTATACTACAAGGCAGGAACATCATGTGTAGTGTTAGGATCCTTTATGTTTTGCCTGGATATAATATTGCATCAAAGACTAGCAACTACAAGACGATTATAGTATGCTGAAGTTATTAGCTCATCTATGTTTTGAACTTTGTAGTGTAATTTCATTTTACTTGCTTTGACACGTTATCATTTTTGACATGTTGGTTTGATTCCCTTCTCATTATAGTCTGCAACTTTTGTGTTTTTTGGTACCCCAACTTCCCTTCTGATACACTTGTGCTTCTGGGGCAGTTTCAGATTTTATTGGTCGCTAAATGATATTATTATTAATGTTTTTTCACTCTTGTGCATTTAAGTAAAAGTGAAACACATTTTAAATAAATATGAGACATCGTAAGGTTCTGTTGATACAGATGAATGAGCCCTGGGATGGAAGACCTTTTAACATTGTTTTCAACCCGCTTGGAGACCCCTTGAAACGATTGAATCTATGTCTTGCCTTGGTCCTGTGATAAGTCTAATACTGTATCTTCCGTTTGAGAGTAGATTACTCCATGACAGTGTTTCCTCAGGTCATACTCCCCCTGAACGGTTTGAACTTACATTCTCCCATTGAGAAAAGTAATGTTTGCATGGTATACGTTTAAAACTTTATTTGGTCTGGAAAATGTTTTGGATCATTCTCTGGGGGGATTCATGGGCTGCATCCTCTAACTGGAGCAGCTCAGTTGAGCTTAGGCGCCATCCTAGAGCGCCCAGATTTTCCTCGACTTGCTTCACAGTTTTAATTCCTGGTATTGGAATAGTGCCTTTGCAGATGCACCAATTTATTGCTACCTGCAAACAATATATTTTCTGTTATGTCTTTCACTGCTCAAGGTAAATTATAAGCACTGCTCATGGTAAAGTGAAGCTTTAAGTGAAGTGAAGCTTACCCTCCATTCTCCTTCGTTAAGACTTAAGAGTGACAGCACCATTGCATCACAATTCGTTAGTAAAAGATTTTTCCAAGACTCTTTACGAATCTCAGGTGACAAGTTTGGCACATGCCATTCTTTTCAAATACTCTCTATTCTCAACCTTAAAGCAAAGGTTTATTCTGAGTCACAACTCACTAGGTTCCTAAGAAGGGATTTTCCAACTAGATCAAAATTTTCCTTCCAAAGCCGATAGATGCATTGATTACATTCGCATACTTTGTTGGTCATTAATTTTCGTGTGTTCTTATTGTTTGCAGAAGTCACATAGAAACTGGTGGATGTAAATTAATCACTTTACTTGTAAAAAACATTAAAGTCCACTGTTGCGAAACAAAGGTCACTAGAGTACCTGTGGTATAGTTTTGCGCCGGCTTTCTGCAATTTCTCTTAGTGAACTCAACAGTGGCTCCAGTCCGGGAAGAATTTGCTTGAATAGCAGGGCCCTGCTTGAAGAAAACATAGTTTCTGGAGCAAGCACTTAATTATGTAATAAAATTAAGTCAAATGGTGGCAAACCAGTGAGTGTATTACCTAGGTCCACGTGGAAGATTGGAAGGTGTATATTTCCCGCTAAGCATTCCAAGTCCAAGAGGACTATAAGAAATCAAGCGGATGCCTAGAGAATCACAAATTTTCTTTATCTCCATCTGCTCTTCTCCCATGCTTAGCAGGGAAAATTGTACCTGACATTTGGATCTTTGTAGGTGTATGTCTCACAATCATGTACCAACCTGAAAGAGTACTATTATTCATACCTGAGCTGAGCACAGTGGGACACCTCGGGCTTTCAGGTAATCATGTATCTTCACCAGTTGTTTGGGTCCATAATTGCTCACTCCGACTGCTTGAACTAAACCCTGCAAATTTATACAAATCAGCACTTAAGACAGTGTAGAAAGCACCCTGCTGTCAAAAGGTATTCTAAGTGCTTGCCATACACAATGGACCTAACTTCTGTCGCAGTTCTATCCCATCTTGGAGAAAATATATGTAGAAAAACGGCAAATGAAAAATCTCAATATCTTCTCTGTGGTAACTATTAAATACAAGACCATTTGAATAAATCATGGTAACCTTCTCATACATTGCCACTAAACCACCCCAAAGTGCCAACTCTTGTGGAGGAGCATAGTTTGCGGTAGACCAGTGTAGCTGTCCAATTCCAATCTGTTCAATCTGCAGTCGATCGAGTGAGGCTCTGGAAAACAGTTTTTCATCAAATGATCATCCAAAGAATAAAAAAGCAGCCAGTATATTCTCTTGCAGCCTCCCAGCCTTATGGTATAGGAAGCGATTTATATTTTGATCTTTTTTCCACACATTTGGGAGCGGCTAGGAAGTTAGTGTCTTCATTAGATAATATTTCAGTCAATTGTTGGAGGAAGCATGATGGAAAATATTATTTCCATAAGCAAAAAGAACAGAAAACATTGAGAGGCATACTTGCAAGCTTTAACAAATTGGCCTGGTGTTAGACGCCATGGATAAGCCGCAAACTTTGTAGCAATCACAATCTCACTCTGTTCCAGCTTTTTCCCTGAAAATATAGCAAGATTTGAAGCTAGCCATGATAACAATCCCAACAACAATATTAGCTACAGGGATATATGAAACTTTATTAACAATCTCCATAGTAATATCAGTTATAGTAGCCGATCAAATATATATATATATCAATTATAGTAAAAACTAAAACCCATAGATGAAGGAAATAGCCCTTAAAATCTATTGCACCATAGTGAAAATGAATCTAAGATAGCATTCTAAGTTTGAACTTCTTAGTTGTCATTTATGGTGTTAGGAGGCTAAAGAAAATATTATTCTAACATTAACCAACATATGACTTTTTCAACTATCTAAATGGACCAATTTTATACTTCTTGAGATCATTCAATCATGTTACCAACTGACCATGATCCATAAGAGAAGCTGGTATCTGTATTTTCCACTTGCAACATTCCATTATCTATGAGTATCATGTCCAAAGGGTATGTTTTTTGACACCCGCAATTTGATACATAATCTAGAATGTCTTTGCACATTAGCACCAGTTAATGATAAGAGGACCCCTTTCTATTTATCACCACTTAGACGTGGGTAATTTTGCTCATAATCATACAATTAAGCAAACTAATCAATTGAGAAAGAGACCAACCTGGAAATTCTCTGATGAACTTCCCAAGAAGTTTTTCACTCTGCCCATTAAGCCTGCCAGTCCCATAAGAATCAGCGGTATCAAAAAGATTGATACCGTTCTCCACAGCAAAATTGAAAACCTGTTGAAGCTCAGAGTCCATTGATTCCTGATAACCCCACAAAAGCTGGTTGCCCCATGCCCATGTCCCAAACCCCATTGGAGACACACTCAAAGGACCCATCTTCACCTAAACATTGCCCAAATCGTTACATAAAAAATATTAATATACTTTGGAAAAACAGGTACCCTTCCTCCAAAATAAGAATCCCAGAAGAAGAAATCATGCTATAAAAATGCAAAAATGGTTCTTAGTTCTTACTTTTTGCCAGGGCCAAAAGGAAGGGAGCTTGAAAGGCTTGAAAGGAGAAGATGGAATAGTGAATTGATTAGAAGGGCGGAGGCAACTAATATTGGCTACGGAGTTGCAGGTTAAGAAAGCCATCAACATGGTTTCCGAAACTTAGTCGCCGGAAGTTGGCACCGTAAAACGACAGTTAAAGAGTTCCGGCTCTGTCTTCCTATTCCCCTCTGTGGTCGGAAATGAAAAACTCAGATAAAGTTTTGGACGGGGAAAATCAAAAAGTAGAGGAAAAACAAAATATTTTGACAGCTGTGGGATTTGAACCCACGCCCTTTCGGACCAGAGCCTAAATCTGGCGCCTTAGACCACTCGGCCAAACTGTCCTTTAATGTTTTGAATTATTGACCAAAGATATTATTGATTTCCTTTGGCAGCACAAATTACTTTTTTTCAACCTCGTCCCTAAATTTGTATTTTTTGGTGACAGGTTCAGTTTCTCAAACCAAAATGCTCAAAAAAAAAAAAAAAAAAAAATTGCAATACAATGTTAATCCGTGGAGCAACCGATCAGCCAGTGTGGTAAAGGTTCTTCCTCTTTTCTTGGTTAAATAGATTACTTACTTTGTAATTTCATATGAATTTGTTGGCCAAAAAGAAAAATTACTTAGGAATTTTAATTGCTTTT